ATTGGAGCCTGCGAAGACGACTGAAACGGTTAAGAAATTAATCGATTAGTTTCACATGCAGGTTCTGTTGTCCAAAAGTAGCGGCGTCCCAGACATACGCAACTTACTATGCACATATGCCTACAGTTGCAGCCTTCTTAAGATGTACGGTAGAAGGACTGTACATTTAATGTTTTCTTAGGGTTCTTTCGATGAGCACTAGCTTCGGCTTTATAATTTCTTCAGAAATAAATTCACAAATCAAGATATTCGCCATTCCTTTGAGCCAGTTGTAAAAACTCGGCGATCTCGGTGTGATTCGAACCCACGCCAGCAAGGAGCAGGCTTTAGTGCAGCCAACGCTCTACCTAATTGAGCTATGAGGACCCCACCAGTAGCCGTAATCTCACTTAAATCAATTTACCCGCCCAGCCTGCTGCAACGCAGGTAATCCACCCATACTGATACAGTAAGCTGACTGTTCAGGCAGGATTTCCTAAGCAACAAATATTGGAGCAAACAGATGACTACCAAATGCACTTCCACATGAGAAGACGACGACGATGATGTGATCGCTGGAAAAAGACTTTTATTAGCCTGACGTTTCGAAATCTGTCGCGGATCGTTCCTCAGAGACAGGGACAATAGCAGAAACGAGTAATTCATACACAGGGAGTAGCAGTAGTACTTCCATGTTATCATTTTATCTGATATAGAAATATGAACCCCCACGGTATTACTAGTGGGAAATACATGCAGCGGTCCATTTTGTCCAGAAATTAACTAATATGAATTGATGCCAGAGTTATTTCAATCGACCTTACGGCCATGGTAATTACTGGAATTAATGTTCGTTATCAACAACGTGTCAAATAACGCTTCCGAAGAGCCTTTGGCTGTTACCCCGCCGAAAAGTAAACTCATTCAGTTGTTGGCAAAGAAACTAAATTGGCCCGCTGTCATCATTTCCGTCCGTTCTTACTGCGCAACCCAGATGGGCACCCTCAAGAGAGAACACGCGAAGCATTCCTCAGATCCAGCCCAAAAAACATAAACCCCCATCCAGGTAAACAGACCGAGGTAAGAGAAGGACAGTAAACGCATTCCTAATTTTTATTGCAATCGAAAAGCAAGGAATCTGCGATTCATAATTTCAAAAGCGGGGCCTCCAACACCAGCCGATGATCCTTCAGAACCGCAGTCGCTGAGCAAGC